GTGGAATGATATATTTCAAGCCGCAAATAAAATAACTACAAACCAACTCCTATAACTAGCAAAGCTATCTTTTACAACTAATAGAGAAATAAAGGCCATTTCAGGACAAGAACACACTACAGAGAAAAGAAGAGAACCCTAATCACAAGAGCACAGGAAAGAATCAATCACATGAAAAGAATAGATCAACAAAGGAGAGCTAGGAAGGAATCTATCATGTTCAACACGGAAAACCAGAAGTGCTTAAGACTAACAGGATAAAAAGAAAAGAGCAAACAATCATCTATGCAACCAGATAAACCAAGAGAGCCAGAGGAGTGAGCAAATCTCCATAAATTCTCATTTTAAATATAAACAGCCTGGACTCACCAATACAAAGACATCCACAGTGAGTTTCACAGCTGCAGCAGTGCACGCTGCCCCCGGAGAGTGTAAGGATTCCATTTGCCCTATATGCTCACTAGCATTTGTTGCTTTTTGTTTTCTTGACAACAGGCATTATGACTGGTGTGCAGAATTCAACAGAGCAACTTCAGAACTCAAGCATGCATATATACTTGCCCTACATGCTCACTAGCATTTGTTGCTTTCTGTTTTCTTGACAACAGGCATTATGACTGGTGTGTAGAATTCAACAGAGCAACTTCAGAACTCAAGCATGCATATATATATATATCAAATGGACTTAACGTAATAGTTACACAGCACCCCCAACTAACAAACAGAGAACACATTCTCAGCAGCCCACAGACCCCTCTGTAAAACAGACCACATTCTAGATCACTGAACATGTCTCAATAAATACAAAATTATCTAAAAGAATTTCTTCTATCTCATTAAATCATAGTGGAATAAATCAAGAGAAACGCCAGTAGTAATTAGACAGTGAAAATTACACTCCTGAATGCCAGTTGCCAAGGAAGAAATGAGATAAGAGATTTAAAAATTCTTAACATCAAATTAAAATAAAAACACAACTAATTGGAACTTTTGAGAAAAGTTTGTAATTGTGAGTGCTCACATTAAAAAATTACAATGAACTTAAATAAGTAATTTAATGATAAACCTTAAGGACTTAGGAAAAGAACAAGCCAAACTCAAAAGCAGCAGACAACAGAAAATAATAAAGACAGGGACAGAAATTAATGAAATGAAAACTAAAATAACAAAACACAAAATCACTTAAACAAGACTGTAAACCCCTCGCTAAACCAACCAAGAGAGAACATTCAAATTAATAAAATTAGATAGAAAACAGAGAAGTTACATCACAGTTCTATAAAATCCAGAGAATGACTTAGGGAATACTTTGAAGGCACATCCAAAATTACTTGAAAAATCTACAGGAAATGGATAAATTCCTAGACACATATGATCCTCCAAAATTAAATCAATATGGGATAAACAATTTAAATAGATCCATAATAATCAAGACTGGAACAGTAATGAAAAGTCTACCAACAAGGAAAAGCCCAGGATCACATGGATTCATTGTAGAATTCTAACTTTCAAAGAATTAACACCATTACTCTTCAAGCTAGTCCATAAAATAAGGCAAGGGACACTACCAAATTCACTCTATGAAGCCAGAATTACCAGTCACATGAGAACACAAGAAAACTATACCAAGTTCCCTGATAAACACAGATGCAAAAGTTCTCAATAAAAACTTTTTAACCATATCCAAGAACACATTAAGAGTATAGTATGACCAAATTGGTTTCATTCAGGAATATAAAGTTGATTCAAAATATGCAAATAAAAATGTAATACAACATATAAATAGACTTGAAAGCAAAAATCAAGGGACTGGAGAGATGGCTTGGCGATCAGGAGCACATACTGTTCTTGCAGAGGACCCTTAGTATGGTTTTCAGCTTCCACGCTGGGTGATTGATTCATAACCACCTGTAACTCTAGTTCCAGGGAAACTGACTCTTCTGGCCTCTGGGGCACTCCACGCATAAGTTCATACTCATACACAGACACACACATATACATATAACCAAAAATAAAAACAAATCTTAGGGGGAAAAAAGTTAGGAATCTCTTGGTTATCTTACATAAGGAAAAGGCTTTTATTCTTCATGATAAAAATCCTGACAAAGCAAAAATAGAAGACACCCCAGCAAAATAAAGGCTTCATAGGACAAATCTAAGTGATAAGAATCTAAAAGCATTTCCTCTGAAATAAGGAAAAAAATAAGGGCCCTCACTCAATATAGTGCTTTCAGTGTGGGCTACAGCAGTAAGACAAGAGAAGGGATGCAAACAGGGAAAGGTGAAGACAAATTATCCCATTTACAGAGGATATTTAAAAGATTCCAAAGACATCAGGAAACTCTTAGACTGGATTGAAAACTAAGCAAAGTAGCAGCATCCAAATCAACACACACACACACACACACACACACACACACACACACACACACACCCCAAAAACACAAGAACACAAAAAAAAACATATCTTTTATATATAGAAAAAAAAAACACGCGATAACACTCACACATATAAAAACGTGTAGCAAGCAAGCAAAAAAACCTAGCTTTTCTATATAGTAATAAAGAACTTGCTAGGACGCTCATCCATGGAAAATTGCTTCAAAAAAATAAACTAGTAGGAATAAACCTAACGGAGGAGATGAAAGATCTCTACAAAGAAAATTTTAAGACACTGAAGATACTTGAAGACAGCAAAAGATGGAAAGATCTTTCATGTTTATAGATTATGAAAGTGACTGTATTACTGAATGCAATCTTCAGATTCAATACAATCTCCATCAAAATTCTAGAGACTTTCTTCATAGAACTAGAAAAAAATCCTAAAATTAATATGGAAGCAAGAGAAAAACAACCAAATGTCCAAAGCAACCTTAGGCATAAAGACCAGTGCGATCTAGCAGTATCACATACCTAATCTCAAATTACTCTACAAAGTCATAGTAACAAAAGCAGCAGAATGCTGGCCCAGAAGCAGGCAAGTCAAGTTGTGCAGTGGATTCTAACAGAGGACTCAAAGGTAAGCCCACACAGACACAGCTCCTTCATCTTTCACCAAGGTATCAAAAGCACAGATAGGAAAAAGGACAGTGTCTTCAACGAATGGTGGTACAAACACTGGACATCAACATGCAAAAAGAAACATTAGGTCCACATCTCTCACCATGCACACAATTCAATTCAAAGGCCTTAATGTATAACCGAAAGCTCGGAAGCTGCTACAGGAAAACGGGAATACTTCAAAACACAGGCATAGACAAGGACTTTCTGAAAGGACTCCAGTAACACTGAAAGGAAATCTAAGATAAATGAGATTGCATGAAGTTAAAAGACCTTCTCTACAGCAAAGGAAACAATTACCAAAGTGAGGAGAGAGTTTATGGATATGGGATTGATATCTAGGATCTCTCCCAAACTTTAAAAATTCTCCCCAAATTTGTTTCTCTACCAGTGCTCCTCCCCTAGGTAAACACTATCACCTCACTGCTGGGCTAAAAGATGTCGGATTCCTCTGCTAATACTCCAGTTGGGACTGTCATCAAAATATGTCCCAAGTCCAACAATTTCTGACCACCTCCAATGTGTGCACTCAACCCAAAGAACTACTCCATTCCTATTCCAAAAGACTGCAACAGCCACCCAACTAAGTTCTACTCCTCTTCTAGGGCCTCAAGATCCACCCCACAAACTGCCATTTTCTGCTATAGATATGAACATCTCATTTCTCCATGAAAACATTACAGTGATTTACCACAGTAAAATAAAAAATCTCCCATCCTAGCTTATGACATTCCACTTAGGGCTCCTGGCTATGTACCAACCCCCCACCACACCTGTCTGTGTACCAACCTCCCCACCACTCCTGTCTGTGTACCGACCTCCCCACAACTCCTGTCTGTACTGACCTCCCCACCACTCCTGGCTATGCACCCCCCTTCCTACCATTCTTTTGCTTGTTCATTCTAACTGGGCTGCACTGACTTCACTCAGACAATCTTTGAACATTACAGTCATGCTCCTATTTTTAACTCAAATCACACTGTTTTTTCTGATGTGCATATGTACATTTCCAGGGCACATATAAACTCATTTTGTAAACAGGATAATGATTTAAATTAGTGTAGCAATTATCAGTGTATTGGAGAAACAAAAGTGTTAATAATCAGCTGGCCTACAAGAAAAGATCATTTCCCCTTTGTTCTCGTTCCTTTTTTAGTTTTTCAAGGCCCTCTAGGACTTTTTCATGCCTTCTTTAACCTCTCCTGTTTTACTAACATAAAAACAGCATTCCTCCTTGAGGGCGGCACATAGCCCTCCTTGTTGTAGGAAAAATTAATCAAGTCCCCATCTATTTTGGAGGACTACTTCAGAGAGATAATCAAGGAAATTGCCTCTATTGGACTGGCCTGTGGCCATGTCTGAGGGGCATCTTCTTGATGAGTGATGTGGGAGGGCCCAGCCCACTGTGGGTGGTGCCACCCCTGGGCAGGTGGTCCTGTGTTGCATAAGAAAGCAGGCTGAGCAGGGGCCAAGAGAGCAAGCCTGTAAGCAGCGTTCCTCCATGGCCTGTGCTCTAGTTCCTGCCTCCAGGTTCCTGCCCTGAGTTCTTACCTTGGGCTCCCGGATAAACTGTGACCTGGGAGTTGTAAGCTGAATAAATCCTTTCCTCCCAAGTTGGTATTGGTCAGAGTGTTCTGTCACAGCAATGAAGAAACAAACTAGGACACCCTTCAATGGCCTCTTTTTATGTTTTCAGGAAAAACCACTATAATGACGATTCAGGCTATCTATAAAATTCAATTTCAGGTTCTTATAGTTTAAAATACTAAAATAAAATCAGCACTCATTCTGAAAGTAATGCTGGCTTTATGGATGCACTGGGGAAAAGAAGATCTGGGAGTTCTCTCAGTTGTTTTAAAATATCTAGCTAGATAACAGGTAACAGTATCTATACATTAACCATAATCTTTCTTTTAACAAAAAGACTTAACTTCACTCACCTGATTATCATTATTTAAACAATCTTCAAGAACCTCTTTAATGCACGTTTCCCTTGAACTCTGTTGAGGACTGTCATCAGCATTAACAGGGACAGGAGATTTGCTAAGCAGAATTTAAGGGATACAAACAGTAAATAAGTTTCTAAATTCAAAAAATATAGAGACTATATAATTTAAGAATTTTCATTTAAAAACAAGTAAGGCTGGAGAGACGGCTCAGGGGTAAGACTGTGTACTACCTTGCAGAGGACCCAAGTTAAATTCCCAGCATCCTCATCTACTGGCTCACAATCACCAGTAATTCCAGCTCCAGGGGAGGCAATGTGTGCACAAACCCACACATAAATACATAATTACAAATTAAAATAAAATCTTTTTTTAAGAGTTGTATCCAAAAAATAGCCATCATGGGTATGGCTTATGTTAAAGCTGTATAACCCCATTTTGTTCCTAAGTGGATATTGGAATTCAGACGCTCCATCCCTTTGCTTCTTCCTTCAAGCTTCAAAAAAAAATTATGTATATATAAAAATTATATACTACATATATAAATTATATATATATAGGCATTATTCCTCAACTATGGAACAGCTCCAAAGGTTCATTTGTTTGAAACTGTATTGTTCCAAGTACATACTGTGAGAGCTGGGAGCCCAAGACAGTGGTAGAGCCTATGCCTAACCACAGCACCATGAACACACACCAAAAAGTTACCTATCTAGTGATAATCGAAAATCCACTCACTTCTAGGAGATTTTACTTCACTGGCAGTTGTATGTTCCCCCACTTCAGGCATCAGTAAACACTCTACTCCAGAACTGGTTTTAACATTGAAGACAGCTTACACCAAGGAAAAGGTTAATTTTAAAATCAAATTTCTAACTGAAAATTCTAGTCCCAGTGCCACTACCATATGATCTTAGGTCATTTACTTGCCTAACCTTGATTATCTTCACTTGTTATCCCCTTATCTCACAGAAGTACTGCAAAAGTAACTAGTGCTTTATGTACGTGAAATAGATCACAGACACTGGACAGATATTCATTTATTTTCTGATGGAGTAGTAGAAAAGGGGTATTCCTGGTAAAAACAGCGGTCCGCAAATCAAATTCTATTCATCACAGAATTACATGAATTCACCCTATTTCTCTATATATCATTATAAGGTCTGTTTTTAACTTAAAAACACAATATCCAAGAATCTTTCTATATCATGTAAACATTACACACCAATAGTTTTCTTAGGAAGAAGCACTTCTTTGTTGACATAATTTGCTATAAGCTTTTTCTCAGTCTATGTAGTCTTTTTCCAATCTGCTTAACAGTTTTAAGTATCAACCAAAAATAGGTACAGAGTCACAAAGAGGTTTACTACATGTTTTTATTTTTATACTTTTTGGAATTTTCACAAAGTTTTAAATAATAGTTCATTTTAATTATGCTTATTTTAATTGCTTTTTCTTGATGTGTGTGTGTGTGTGTGTGTGTGTGTGTGTGTGTGTGTGTTCAGGGGCCTGTGGAAGCCAAAGTCAAGGTCAGATGTATTCCTCTATCATTCTCTACCTTAGTTTTTGAGGATCTCTTTCTGAACCCGAGCTCACCAATTCACCAATAAACTCCAGGGATCCTCTTCTTTCCACCTTCTAAAGCACTTGGGGTTACAGGCACACACCATGCCTAGCTTTTTTTTTTAATTTTTTTATGTGTATTTCATACAGAACATCCCTAACAATCTTATTCATCTTTATACTCCCATCCCAAATGGCACCCTCCATATCGCCCCCCACTGGAGCCCATATACTCTGTCATCCCTATTACTGTCCACTGTTGTCAATGTCCCCCAGCAGTTCCCCAGTTCCACTGAGTCTAGTCAGCCTATCTAGAGTCCCTGGTTTTAGGAAGATCAGCTCTTCCTTATCTAGTAGCAATCAGTTGCCAACATCCCTTTAGATAACATTGGGGTCTGCTGTTCAATTTCCCAGTTCTATGCTGAGTAACTGTCTGAGAGTCTCTTGGGCCACCCTGGCTAACAACTCAAAGGAAGTTATCTGTCTGGCATTGTTTCTTGTTATGTGGCCTTTAGCTATACACATGGACTCTTAAAGAAATACACTGATTACTTTCATCTTTGGTTATACTTTCCTTTGGGGTTTTTAAGATCATACAGTTGGCCCAGATTAACAAATTTATTTTTACTGTTAAGGTCGTTTGAGAATCTGTTCCTCGGGGGTCACATGGGCTTGGGAGGGGCCTCTGGTTCCTTTCTTTTAGCAGTTCCATCTATGTGAAGATAAGTCAAAGGTCCTGCTCAACTTTGCTTTTTATAAGGGTGCTACAGAGCCCACCTCAGGCCCTTTTGCTTGCACAGCAAACACTTCACCAATGGCGCCATCTCTCCAGGATTTGTGTTGTGTTTGAGAGTACTGCTTTACTGCTTTCTAGTCCACTATGCTTCATCCTGGAGTAATAACGTGTCAGTCTTACACTAAGATCTGTGTGCTCTTCTCAGCAACCTGTCTTTACTCTTGTCTACAGAGAATATGAGTCAGCTCTTCAAAAAGGAGATTTTGGGTGCAAGTTCTGAGTCAAATCACTGGTATTAATTATTCAAAGCACAAGTTTTATGACCTAACTGAAAACACATGCAGTAAATACATTCAAAAATTCTACTCTTAATCATCTCATTTTGCTACATTTACTAAAACAAAGACCAAATGATTAAGAAATAAGAAAGGTAAAAGAAGTTAAACATTAAACATTGAGTTAGTTATAAATTCTTTTTTAAAAGATTTTTTTGTTATTATTTTATGTGTATGTGTGTACTGCCTGCATGTATGAAAGTGCACCCATGTCATACAATGCCCACAGAGGTCAGAAGAGGCTATTGGATCCCCTGGGACTGGAGTTACGGACGGACAGTTGCTAGCTGCCATGTGGGTGCTAAGATTCGAACCTGGGTCTTCAGCAAGAACAACCAGTGTTCTTAACTGCTGAGCCATCTCTCCAGGCCCCATATACTCTTTTCTTTAAAAAAAGATGTTGAAATAACTTGAGAAAACTAAAAGAAAATTAAGTTTTATGAGCAATCATCACTACCCAATTTATGAGAGTTCATCCTTAGTCAGAACCTATTCTAATTGCTTTCATGTTCTAATAAATTGAATTCTCTAAACAACCCCCAAAATAACTATTATTTCACCATCTTTCAAATTTATAGAAGTAACTTGCACAGGTCTCAAAGCAAGAAGTAAGAGATGGGGGACAAACTTTAATGATGATCAGTGCTGGTGTTCATATTCAACTGAAAAATAACTGAGAAGGAGGATTGAGAGTTAAAGGCAAGCCTGAACTACAGGCATGACCATGTCTCAAAAAAAGAAAATCAATCCAAGAATTATGACTCTGTCAAAAGCAGAGTATTTTAGACAACAGAAGATAATAGATTATTAGAACCTAAGACATGAAATGGTCTTACCAAGACTGTACTATTACAAATGTAATAGCACTTAAAAAAAAAAAAAACTCCCTTAAATAAGCTCCAATTAACACCGTACTCATCATCTTGGGTATGCAAAACTATGTCAAAGAAAGGCTGAGCACACAAATTAGAAAAACCTCTGGAACTGTAATAGACTATATCTAAATAGGTAGTGTCAGGTTGGAGAGATGGCTCAGCAGTTAAGGGCACTGTCTATTCTTGTAGAGGACCTGGGTTCAATTCACAGTACTCACATGATGGCTAACAACCATCTATAACTCCACTTCCAGGAGACCAAACACCCTTTTCTGACGTCCCCAGGCATTGTACAACAAGAGTCTACCTACCTACATGCAAGAAATACACTCAAACACATAAAATAAAAATAATAAATATTTTAAAATGTACTGTCATCTAAGGAAAACAATAACTAAAAGCAAGTCAAAATGTAGATGACAAGAAATGAATAACATTAATTGGTAAGAGAGAATTAACATGTGAAAGTAGTAAGAATCAACTATGCTACTCTATTTGCACAATACTTTTTTTTGCTCCAATCCCTCATAGATATATCAATATTTAATAATAAAATGAAACAAGTAACAAAGAAGTTATGTATTACACTGAAGTATAAGAAACATCTTGTGGAAATAAATGAAAAATGCAACTTAAGCAATATGGAAAGCTATGATCTGCCAATTATTAAGTTGTATGGAAAATAATGCCGATGGTAAAAAAAAAATTTCATTTTGAACACTAACCACTGTCACTTACTTACAAAGTAACAGGAACATTTTCCCATGATCTTTCTGCTTCGAGTTTATCTAGTGAGCAAGGGCTGTCATCCTTGGTCATAGGCTTTGGTAAGTCTTCAGTACACTGCCTGAGATTTTTCTTGGCCTTCAGGATAAGCAACTCAATTTTGTCACCTAATTTTAAAAACAATAAAGAAAACAGAAAGCTCAAAACATTTCACAGTCAACAAGAACTAGTATAATTTGGAATGCACACTTCTACAACAGCAAATTAGGACAAAATGGACAATTTAAGCAAAGAACAAGGAGAAAAGGACTTCTATAGTTTTAAGATGCTATAAAAAGATCATATACATTCTTAAAAATGTGTAACATCAAAAACAAAACAAAATTTCTACATATCATATTAAATTTTAACTTTCTTGGGTTTGAAACACACACACACAAAAAAAAAAAAAAACACAAAAACTAAAAACAAAATATTACCACTGAATGGCTTTTGAGATTGTCCTGGGAGAAACGGATTCTCACACTGACATTGAGTGTGCTCAGTATCATATTTATATTCATTAACTAATTCTTTACCCTCTCTGAAAGAATCTGTAAAATTTGAAGGTTCAAAAGAATATTCGAAACAATCGACTTTATCTGTAAGCTGAGAAGTTCTTTGTGTCTGGTGACTAAGTATAGGGGAATATTCATCTTCTTTGAATAATTTATAAGCCCTTTGACTATCTGCATCAGGTAGCAAGTCTTTATTATGGAGCCAAATTGGATATTTAAAATCAGGTATACTGGTTACCCCTGAAACATTAAGATCAGATTTCTGGCTAGTGAGCCATCTTGGATAATTTTTTTCAGCACTGTGCTCTGAACTGTCCTTGAAAGATGATTCCTTGGGAAATGACAAAGATGATTCCAAAACACATTTACTATTTCTATTCATAAGCTTTGGAGTTCTGGGCCCACCACATTTCTTTCCATTTACATGTGTATATACATCAAAAGTGACTAAGTTATCTTTGCTCATGGGAGTAGAGGATACATGAAAATTCAGATTCTTTTTAATGTCCGATGAATCCAATCTTCCAAAGTATTTCTTGTTTTTCTTGCTTGGCCGATAACCAGATCTAACATGAGTGAAAGAAAAGGATCCATCTGCTGGCAGTCTTAACAAATCATCCGTTGTTAGGCTAATGGAGTCCATATCATTAATAATCTCTCTTCTATAGGACAAGGAGTGTGAGTGCTGTCTGTGATCAAGATTCTCAAAAGCTGAAAACAAAGCACAGTTCTGTTTATTTCCTTTAATGTATATAAATAGAACAGTCAACAGTTAAACAGAACTAAGAATTTAAGAATCTTTTTGGTACTTTCCTCTCATTACTAAAGTTTTGATTAGACATATTAAATGTATAGAGTACTAAAATAAAACTTGTTTTCTCCTACCTGTTGAATTTGTGTTCTCTAATTTACTGTTTCTTAATTTTCTCCATGCAGACAATCCTAATGTTAATACAATCACATTAATATTGGTCACCGAATATTGGCTATAGCAGAGGACAAAATATGCTATTAAACTAGGTGGAAAATAATTTCCTTTCTTGCCTAGTCAGCCTACAATGGCATGGTTACACACAGAGAACAGATGGTCTAATTCTCTTCTAGAATGTATCACCCATATCCTTCCAGGAGTTGAATACAATCTTTCCCCATTCTAGAAGAATTCCGTAAGTGTTCAGTAGGGTGGTTCAGATTATCAGCAACTGGTTTTTTTCCAGATTTGTCTTCATGACAGCTTTACCAAGGACAAACTCTTGGTATATTGTGATCATTCTTCCATAGAATTAATTCTGTAAGTGCTCAGTAGCATATTTAGGCATCAGCTTGTTTACAAATGCTAAGACCATAATATCAATGATCTTTCCATTATGCTACAGAAAAAAAAAATGTCTTAAGGGTTTAGGATCAGCCACCTGCTATTAATTACATTCACCGGTGTCCTCTCTGAGGTGAAAAGAAAGTCTTAGCTAAAATATCCTGGGAACCAGACAATACAGAGTTTTACAAAATACCAAGTTTTCAATATTGTACAAGTTATTTTTATTCCAAAATAACAAAAAGTCAAACTTTATGAGGCACATCTCTCAAATATCTTCAACCACTAGACATAAAAGAATGTAAGAAAGGATAAAAGGCCAAAGCATACCATTGCTTGGTTTGTGCTTATAGCTGGAAAATCGTGGCACGGTAACAGAACCTTTGCTGGTATCTATTTTGCCAGTGCTTGTGGCAGGATGTACTCTGCTTAGATCGAAATCATGAATGTAGGCCTGCAGAGCCTCAGAAGCAGAGCGGTAGAGCTTGCCCTTCAACCAAAAAGAGTCGTCAGAATTGGAGGAACCACCACCACTCAGGCTGCAGCTTGCCAGGAGAGAAGACACTGAAGAGGCCCGAGAACAAACTCTGTGCTTTGTGCTTGATTTTGCCATGGCTTTCTCAGAAAGAGTTACTCATTTCCATTAAAAACTAGAATCCAAAAACAAAAAGTGGCAGTGCCATGAACAATGACTATCTGCAATAAACTATCGAATATGTAAACATTTCTCATTGATAATTATCTACAGTAGATATTCCTATTTAAGCACTGAAATTTCCTATTATCTTTATTGTTAATCGCTTCGTTAATGACTTAGAAAATATTTCTTGAATACCTATTATGTGTCTGGAAATATGTATACAAAAAATTACCTGAGCATATACATGGGAAAACTAAGGGAAAAGGTGCTCACTTTGTTTAACATCTTAACAACTACTGATGGACGGTATTTTTATTATGGTGATATATTCTATGATATCACAAGACTTAACACTTTCCGGTATTTTGTAAGCCAACTGCCATGCCCAACAGATAGAAAGCAGTCAATAGATTCTTTTTTAAGCCCTCAACTAAGGTGAGAAGGAGGCAAGAAGGAACCGGGAAGAGCATCTCTTTCAATGCTCCGAGCACCAATACGAACTTTAGCAACTCCTTCCCCCAAATAACTGGAGAGAACAAACTATAAAATTTACCTATGAAGAAATAAACTAAAAATCTTATTTCAGAATGAGCTAACAATACCCCTTCTCCTAAACTAACGGTGTTAATAATCTCTTCCTGACCTTCACTTCTCACACCCTCAGTAGTTCCAATTCTTACACAGCTTCAGCTCAACTATATTTAGCAATAGCAAGGTCTATATTTAAAAACCAGAAATAACAGAATGGAAAGATGCTTTAATAACTCAGGACATGCTGTGACACTCACCAAGAAAGAGTTTTCTGTACTAAAAAGAGGATTAAGGCACAGAATATAACACATGCTACAATACTGCAAAGTCAGTATGTTTACTTTGGGGCTATAATTTTAGAAATATTTATGTTATCAACAACTCTCAATTCTGACTTTAAAATACAGCAAATTTTCTAATTAAAGACAGAGGAGCGCTGGAGAGATGGTTCAGTCAGAGGTTTAAGAGAACTGACTACTCTTGCAGATGACCTAAGTCAGTCCTCTTCTGGCTCTCTCCTGGTATCTGCTGACATTGCACACACGTAGTGTACTTACATGTATAAGCATGCAAAACACTTAAACACATAAAATAAAATAATTTTTAATTTGAAAAAACACGGGGATGTAGAGGCTCATGCCTGCAATCCTAGCACTCAGAGGCTAAAGCTGGAGGTCACAGCAAGAGGGGAATATAAGACAAGCCTCACCTGCATTCCTGAAAGGCTCAACATTGAGATGCTTGTAAACAACAGCTGGACAAAGTAGGCTTTACTTATGTTCCTTATCCTTCCTACTAAAATTTAAATTAACTCAAGGAAACCTATTTCTATAGTTTTGCTCGCTTATCAGAACACAAATTAGGGTGCCAAAAAATAAATACAAGGGGCTGGAGAGATGGCTTGGTGGTTAAGAGCACTGGATGCTCTTCCAGGTTCGGTTCCCAGCACTCGTTCTGGCCTCCTCTGCACTATAGGACATGCACTTAGGTACAGGCAGCAAAACACTCATACACATAAAATAATCAAAAAAGTTTTTTAAAGAATACAAAATCTCAACAAGGAAAGCTGTTGGATTTTAACTATCATGAGTAGCTGACACTTATCTCCATTTACCAGGGCCAAAAGAAGATCCATGATTTTTATGGAAAGTTTTCAAGTCTATGCAAAAGTGTAAGAACAGTTCAACATGGCCTGAAGAGATAGCTCAGCAGTTAAGAGCACACTGGCTGCTCTTGCAGACGACCTGGGTTGGTTCCCAGCACCTACGTGGTGGCTAATAATGAAAAGTTTATATCCCTATTTCATTCATCATCACACAATAAATTTGAGAAGCTCTACCTTGAAGAATTTAATGAGTATTATAAAAATCAATACGAACAAGGAAAAAGGAAGAATAGTTTAATAAACACCTATGCACCAATTATCCTTCTTCCAACATTTACTCATATACTTTAATGTTTTAGCCATATCCTCTCCCATTTCCGATTTTGGTCACACGACTACTTCCAATCTTATATAATTTAGGTAAATCTCATACATCTTACCATTCCCTTCGCAAACAATTCAGCTCCAATCTCCAAAATCAAATCCACCGTGCTGAATGATAAAATTAGGGTAAGACATTTCAACTATGTTGATTTCAAAACTGGCTATTCGGTGTCACTAGAGAACACACACGGGATCCGGAGGATAAAAGCACCGAAGTTTAAGAACCCGTGGGAACAGAGGCTGAGACTGCTAGGTGATGAAGCCCACGCTGGCTGCTTCTGCAAAGGGTCCAAGCTGGGCCTGGAGCGCGGCGACTTCCCAAGCCTAGCGCACTGGGTGCAGTGCTCGGACCCGCCTCCGTCCTCCCCGCTTCTCCGGGGTCCCGAGGCCCCTGGGAGCCACGGTCACCGACATGGACTTCGGTGAGCCGCTTCTTTCTACCCGCTGAAACCGCGGGGCCACTCCGTGACATCTCCCGAAAGCTCGGGCCCAGCCTGGCACCCCCGCCCTAGACGCGTCCGGGCCCCACGGCATGCGCAGGAGCGTCCCACGTCCCCACGGTCCCCTCCCGGGAGCGCCCTCCTCCGCCTCGCAGCCGGTCCTCCAGCATCTCCCGGAGCATCTCCCCAGCATCTCCCCGAGCATCTCCCCAGCATCTCCCCGAGCATCTCCCGGAGCATCTCCTGCGGGCCTAACTCACCAGCTGAATCTTCAAAGTGCACACTTGCAGACTGTCCGCCGAAAACTCAAGCCGGGACCCGGCGACATGACAGCCGGACACCGCCCCTTCATGGCCCGCAGGTTCCTGGGCCGTCACAGGCGGGGCGCGGCACCCGCGCAGCCTTTCAAACCGACCCAACATGGCGGCGGCCTACAGGCCGCATGCGCAGTGGCGGGGCGTGGGGGGCGTGAGGAGGAGGGAATTCCAGAGAACAGCTGGGAGTGCAGGGGTGAAAGGGCGCCGTCGCCGTCCCTCCCGGGCGGTTGGGTTTAACCCTCGCCTTCTCCCTGAGCTGGGAGAAGGGGGTTCTAGACTCCATCCACGTCCCACGCCTGTCTCATGTCTATCACTGCCCTGCTCGGCCACTGTGGGAGGGAACAGTGAGTTGGAGAGGCAGACAGTTGCAGTCCCCCTGAGAGCCAGCCACGTAGTTCGACCTTGTCCATCAAGGCATCCCCTCCAAAGACAGGTACCATTTCAGCCAGGAGCGCTCCTCGCACCACTTTCTCCCCTACTTTTTGGGAGGACCTCCAGCCTGCTCCCCATACACAAGGCAGATAACGGACTGGAGAAGGAAGTCAGACCCGCAATGGGATTTAACAAATTCCTTGGGGACCTTGATTCCCAGGGGAGAATGACAGTGACCCAACACGGATTAGGGACCTAGTCGGGCAGCCCAGAAAAAGGGACATTATACACACAGATATAAAGACCTATTAATAACATATGTGAATCTATCCACCAGGCTGGGACAGGATATGAGGTGTGAAGATCTCAGATGCAACCAAATGGTGTACCAAAAAACATGCTATCTCAGTATTGGTTTATGCTCGTGTGACACTGACCCCCATGGGTGATGATGTCCTTCATCTCCATCTGAGTATGTTCTAGTTTGTCCCATGTTTTAAACCATCAGGCAATACAACTACAAGCTTGTTGTCTCGTGTCCTTTCACCCTCTGTAGCCTGCTAAAACTTTACCTATTTCTCTTAGTAAATAAAAATGGCATATGCTATAAAATTTAGTCAATTAAACACACATTTATTGTATAAATGTGAAATGACTTAAAAACAATGACAGTACATGCAGAAAATTATGAGTGGTAAGTGCCAATAACTATGAAATTTAAAAAATTTATGTGTATTGCCTGCTTCTGTGTAAGTCCACCCATGCAGTGCCTACAGAGGTCATATTCTGAGTTAGATGTTTGGTAGCCACCATGTGGGTGATGGGAATTAAACCTGGGTCCTCTGCAAGAGCAGCCAGTGCTCTTAACTGCTGAGCCACTTCTCAAGCCGCATAATTATGAAATATTAGGTAGGCTGCTGATAGAAATAAAAACCTGTGTTTTATATGCTAGGACAAGCCTATGTCAGATCAGGCAAAGACTTAATGGCATGGCCTGAAAAAATTAGATTTTTTAAACTAAATTCCACTTAAATATCTTTTTAACCTACACTTCAAAATAATGCTTAAATATTCTTCATACACTGTATTTTTAAAATTTCTTAGCTTGGGAGTGTAGTTCACAGATAGAGTACTTGCTTAAGGTGGTAAATTCAATCCCCATACTGGAAAAAGTTTCTCAAAGTACCTTTTATTTCCATCTTGGGCATGTGTTTCCTAATCAAGATATAAAGTGTTAATGAAGGACATCATGGAGATGTAAAGGAACTTAACAAATATATTGACCTTAGTTGTGGATCAAAGTAATTTTACTTTCACTTTATTCCCTTACAGGTTGATGGAAATGAAGCACTCCGCCAGAATTTGGGGAAGAGTCTCGATGAGTACTAAAATTCTGAACTAGATTTGTTAGGAAAGGTAAAAAAAAAAACAGGACTCTTTTAGGAAACATGAGGTTAGAGTGTGTTGCACTAAATTTTCTTCCCTTGTCCCTTCTTGAGAGGCTCATATGCCCTCTGAGGCCTCAAGGCTCACAGACTAACATAAAACATTTCAGTTTGGGTTTTGTACCGTTTTATGACATTTGGCAGGGGTGACTTATATGAAATGGCTCTCTATAGCCTTTGTGCCATTCAAGCCTGTCCATAGTCTCCATCAGCTTTCGAGCACCCTGCCCACAGTCCTAAGTGTCCCATCGCGTGTCCTTATAGGATGCTGCAGTTCACCCCTAAGGCCCCATGCTCTCAATCTCACTGCTGTGCTAACTCTCCACAGCTTACTCTCTTCTCCTAGGCAGCTCCACCCCTCTTCCAAGGGTGCTCCTCATCTTGCCCCCAGGCTGGCTTACACTTTTCCAAGGAATAAGTAATTTTCAGGCTACAGTGTGGTATTCTTCTGTTTTTCTAATATAAAAGATAGCACCTAATTATTGTACATTCCTGGGAAACCAAACAAGAGAATATAAATTTATGATCTAACCTGAAGAGTTGTAGGTGAGAACTAAGGAAGTTCTGAATGGTTTGATAATTATGTGTTACGATTTATTAAGGTGCTTAAGGAGGCAATTTTGAAGAACTTTTTAGTGATGTTTTTAAGTGTGTTCATTATAAGAATCCAACCGTATGGATCACTTTGAAAAAAAAAAAAAAACCCTCACTGTTTCAAGCATTTTGCAGTTAACTTTGTGGACTCCATAAGTATTATCCCCTTCCTATAAATGTGAAAATTGATGTTCAAAGGCTAAGAGATTTACCAGCTGGTAGTGCCAAAGGCAGGATTTGATTCTAAATTGGTTTCTACATTCTTTATACTATACCTGCCAGCTCCCCCTAACTGAAAGCTGGTTGATGGACTGAGGAACAAATAAAACTACAGCACTCTGAATGAATTCACAGCACAGTATTTTAACTGCCTTTGCCATACCTACACTGTACTTAGTCCCTTGAGGGCGTTACTGTAAATTTTACCAAAGACTGGGTAGCTTAAATGCAGTAAAAGTTTATTTTCCACAGTTCTGGAGGCTCAAACTGTATGTCTGATCATAAGTATGATCAGAGTACCATCATGATTGGCTTCTTGTGAGGGATGTAGATTGTTACTTTCTAGGTGTGTCCTCACAGGGACAAAGGGGCAAATGAGCTCTCTGTAATCTCTTATAAAGACATTAATCTTGTCCATGAAGTCTCTGCCCTCATGATCTAATCACTTCCCACGACCCTTCCTCCTAAAGCTACCATATTTTAGAATTTCAAACAATTTGAAGGAACAAACCCAGTCTATTACAGTACCAAACTTCAACTATGAGTTTAGCAAATATCTTTAAACTGAATTGCTTTGAGTATGATCCTGTCTGAAGAGGTAACATGAAAGAAAAGATGCCAAAGGAGCAGAGATTTATGAACTTTCCAAGGAGAGAGAGGAATAAGAACAAAGACCATAACAGAGGAAGTTCCTTGGTTGTATTTGAGGAATAGTCAGGAGGCTACTGTGAGAGCTAAGTGGACAAGAAGACTACCAGTAGAAAGTATGTTGGAAGAGGAAGCCAAAGCTCAGATCATAAATGGCAACTGCCATTCATTGTAACAAGATTCATACCAAGAGCACATGATCAAAAAATGACGAGACAATGCCAAGGAACAGGAAGGACATGGGGCTAGAGAGATGGCTCAGTGGTTAAGAACATTGGCTGTTCTTGCAGAGAACCCGGGTTCAAATCCCAACACCCACATGGCAGCTAACAACTGTAACTCCAGTTCCAGGGGATCTGATGCCCTCTTCTGGCCTCCATGGGCATTGCACAACATGGGTGCACTTACATACATGCAGGCAATACAGGCATACACATAAAATAAAAATAAATAGTGCTAGGCATGGTAGTGCGTGCATTTATTTAAAAAGGTAAAAAGGAAACACTTGCCAGGCATGGTAGCACACGCCTTTAATCCCAGCACTCGGGAGGCAGAGGCAGGCAGATCTTTGTGAGTTCAAGGCCAGCCTGGTCTACATAGTAAGTTCCAGGACAGCTGGGGCTACAAGGAGGCCCTGTCTCAAAAATAAAGGAAACACGTTAGAAATAATGATTCAGTGAATGGCTATAGGTTCCAGGCCCTACAGTAGGACATTTAAGTGCTTTATTAAACACATTAATTCTACAGGATGCTAGATATTATCCCAATTTTATATAAGTAAGAAAATATAAATATTAAGTACTGTGCTTCACACAATAAGCAGGGCAGAAACAAGATTTGATCCAAGTCGCTGATTCCAAAATCTGACTTTTTAGACTATACCACATTTTCTCCTTAGAAGGACTATGAGTCAGAAAAGTATTTGTTCATGCACGTGATCAAGTCATTATCATTATTGTTATTTTCTGGGTGGTGGATATTGCAGAAATAGTGTTGGAATATAATAGAGCACAACCATAGTACCAGCTACTTGAGAGGCTGAGGCACAGGCTTGAGTCCAAAAGTTCAAGACCAAACTAGGCAACCTAGTAAGGCCCAATCGCAGCTTTTTCTGTTTACATGATTATATTTTACCAATCATTTGTTTTTAAATTTTTACAGGTAGATGGACTATAAGGCAATTGCTCAACAAACTGCCCAAGAAGTTTTCAGTTACTATCAAGATATATCTGGCTGGAAAGTGATTAAATCTTCAGTAAGAAAACAAATATTACAGAGGTTTTTTGTTCTGTTTTGTTTTTTTATTTCAATGAAAGTTAACTTTAAAGGCACTTTAAGATTTTATAAACAAAAATATAGTTTTATATTGTTACTTTTTGTTTTCATTTTTTCTGCATCTGACAGTTAATTTATTTCTGGATTTTATTCCCTTTGAGAAAAAGGTAACTGTTTCCAACAAGCCTTCTAAAGTATTTCCTGGAAATCTGTGAGTACAATTTTCTACTTACACTCATTGCTTTAAATTCAATGAAATTACCAAATCTAGACATCAATACCACTTCATAAATAGAACAAACTATTTGATAGTAATTAAGAAACAAAGTATGGAGTCATGAGATAGAAATAAAATAGAGTGATCACATACCATGCAACAGTTTCTAACATGAATAATATCACAAAGTCCTTCTAGCCTAGCGATGTCACTTAGTGGTGGTGTAACATGCACAAGGCCCTGAGATTCATCCCTAATACTATAAAGCCACATATACACACACATACATTCCTTCTAATTCCTTAGGGTAGAATATTCATGTAAAATTACATTGGTCTTTATTATTTATATGTGTTATGAGTATATTGCCTGCATGTATGTACGTGCACCCATGTCATGCAATGCCCAAAGAGGTCAGAAGAGGATGTCAGATCCCCTGGAACTAACGTATTGGATGGTTGTTAACTGCCTTGTGGGCACTGGGAACCAAACCCGGATCGTCTGTGAGAACAGCCAGTTCTCTTAACCACTGAGCCAGCTCTCCATCCCCAACATTGCTCTTTTCTTGTTAACAATAGTGTTCTATGGTCTTTAGAACCCTTCCCTCAAATAAACACTAAAATTTATTTTTTCTCCTCAATTTTTTCTTACTCATGAGTACAGGTTTTTTTCTGTAAATTGCTTTTAAGGATATTATTGAGGATCTTGTTTCAAATATAAGCACACTAAGGGTAATTGTGCCAACATATTTTAACCTTATTTTTAGATTTGTTCATTTATTGCTACTGATATCTGATATCACATATGTTCCCTTAGATCGTCCTGCTATTGAGAGAACCAAAACCAATTCTTATTAGTTCTTTTCTTTTAGAAACTAATTGTTTAAAATACTTCACATTGTACATCATTTTTTCCCATCTAGCTGCAATCTATCCATGTTTGTACCCTGTTTCTCTTGGGTATTTGGTTGTTTGAGCTAGGTCTCACGAATGCTGGCTCTTCCTGCTTTAGCCTTTTCCATACCGATTTTTTTTAAAATTAATGGACAAGGTTGGCATGATTTCTCCTATTCATTTCAGTAAGTACCAAGAAAATAATTCCTTCTTTTGTTATCTAAGCAACTGAAGACTCAAATAGTGGTACTTTCAAAACTAAGCTGAGGGACAACAGGTACACTCAAGCTGAAGAATACTAAGGGGAAAAAATTTAGATAGTCTGATGTTGAGTTTAAATTGTGAACTTGACACAGTCTAGAAGCACCTAGGAAGAGAGGCTCAGTGACGTGTTGTCTAGATCAGACTGGCCTGTGGGCATATCCATGTTTGTTTCATAATGTCTTGATTACATTCACTGATAGTATGGGTAGAATCATTCCCTGGGTTTAGATCCTGGACTATATATATGTTGATGGGGGCGGGGGAGGCAGTGTTAGCAAACTTGCATGAATTTATTTCTGTCTACTCCTGACTGGATATGAAGTGGCTAACTATATTCAGTTCCTACTGCCTTGACTTTCCTATGGTAATGGCCTAAAACCTGAAATTTTGAACTAAAATAAACTTTCTCCCCTAAGTTACTTTTTGGCAGGGTCGTTTATCACAGCAACAGAACTGAAACTAGGAAAGATGTTGGCTTCTTGGTACTTTACATATAAAACTAATGCAGACTGTAACCTATGTATCACAGAAAACTTAGAAATCCTTCATTCTATAAACACTTCTTATTTGTATGTAAACAGCACATAGAGTTAAACATCATCCTTCAGGCTGTTTTAAAGGCTTTATGAATCATCTTATCAGGAATATTTTATTATGATCTTACATGAATAACTAGACCATCAGTGGTGGTGCATGCCTTAAATCCCAGCACTCAGGGAGGCAGGGACAAATGGATCTCTGTGAATTTGAGGCCAGCCTGGTCTACTGAGCAAATTCCAGGCCCTCTGGGAATATAGGGAGACCCTGTCCCCCAAAATAAAGCAAACAGTACAACAAAAAGAAATAAATCATTAGACCCACCTATTCAAAAGGGAGGCTGTTAAAAGGATGCCAGTGCGAGGGGTGCAGCTTGCCGAGGGACATTTTAAATTCTACGTCCTGAACACTGGTTGGGAAAATGCTTTCTTAAATTCTGTTTCAAAATTAAGATTAATTAAAAAGTACATGAAATTCAATTTTGCATTCATATTTTCTCAAGCATATTTTCTCACTGATTCTAAATTTTCTGTGCTTATGTGCATAAAGAGATTGACTCCGCTTATATTTGTCTCTGTGTGGATTATTTTAGATCAGTTATGGCAGGTATTTAGGTTTTAAAAAGAAAATCAAGCTGACCATGTTGGGCAGGTTGCTTCATTTGACCGTCTGTTTTCCCCAGCCTGGAGTAGAAGGAAGTGAAATAAATTGCCATCAAGTCAGGAGAAACCTGGACCATAAATTTCTCCAGTACTTCAAAGCATCACAGTTTTAAACAATGGTGAATAATTAAATCAGGAAGCTTTCATATGGATTTAGAATGGAAAACTGTGGAGACCTACACTTACGGAATATATTACATGGTCCAGTATCATCTGCCAAACTAGAGTTTGGGAAAATGATACCCTATTATTGGTTTGTTTGTTATTTTTAATTTTTAATTTTTTAGTTTTGTGTATGTGTGTCTGTGTGTACATGGGTGCCTGTGTGCGAGTGCTGACTGAGGCCAGAAGAGAGCATCAGATAGATCACTGAAGCTAGAGTTACAGGCAGTTGTGAACCATCCAACATGAGTGTTGGAATTGAACTCTAGTCCTCAGTAAGAACTCTTAACTGCTGAGCCATCCCTCAGGCCCTGTTATTACTGAGAAAGGTGCACATCTTGTCATGTGTGGAGGGCAGAGTGTATTGAGTGTATTGCCTCAAAGTAAGTAGGTGCACCCATGTCATGCAGACAAGAAGAAATAACAAAAATCAGGGCAGAAATTAATAAAATCAAAACTAAGGAAACAATAATAAGAATCAATGAATCCAAGAGCTGGTTCTTTGAAAAGATAAACAAGATTGACAGACCGCTGGCCCAGTTAACCAAAAGAAAGAAAGAGCACCTAAAATCAACAAAATCAGAGATGAAAGTGGAAATATCACAACAGACACCAGAAAGATGCAGAACATTATAAGGGAATACTTTAAAAACCTATATGCTACTAAATTTGAAAACATAAAAGAAATGGATATCTAAAGGCATGGGAACCACCAAAACTAAACCAAGAAGAGATTAACAGCTTGAACAGACCCATAAAACATAAGGAAATTGAAAGAGTAATACAAAACCTCCTGACTAAAAAAGCCCATGACCAGATGGATTCACAGAAGAATTCTATCAGACATTTAAAGAAGATCTACATCCAATACTACTTAATTTATTCAAAAAGACAGAAATGGAGGGAGAACTTCCAAATTCCTTCTTGAAGCCAGCATCACTCTTAATACCCAAACCAGGTAAAGACACAACCAAAAAAGAAAACTGTACACCCATAACCTTAATGAACATAGTTGCCAAAATTCTCAACAGAATACTTGCAAACCACATACAGACACACATCAAAAAGGTCATTCAGCATAATCAAGTAGGCTTTATCCCAGAGATGCAGGGATGGTTCAATATACGCAAGTCAATAAATGTCATAAATCATATAAATTTAGGGCTCAAAGACAAGAACCACATGATCAACTCAATAGATGCACAGAAGGCCTTTGACAAAATTCAACACGCATTTATGTTCAAAGTCCTAGAGGAAATTGGACTGGAGGGAACATACCTCAACATAATTAAAGCCATACATAACAAACACACAGGCAACATCATTCTAAATGGAGAAAAACTGGAAGCATTCCCATTGAAATCAGGAACCAGGCAAGGCTGTCCACTATCTCCACTTCTCTTTAACATAGTGCTTGAAACTCTTGCAAGAGCAATCAGACAAGAGCAGGAAATTAAAGCAGTAATAATTGGAAAAGAAGAGATCAAATTATCCCATTTTGCAGATGATATGCTATTATATGTAAGAGACAACAAAAATTCCACCAGAAAACTCCTAGAAATTAACACGTTCAGTAAAGTGGAAGGTTACAAAATTAACCTACAAAAGTCTATAGCCTTTCTATATACCAATAACAAGCAATTGGAGAAAGAATACACATTCACAATTGCTGCAAAAAAATATCTTGGAATAAATCTGATGAAAGACACCAAAGATCCCTACAATGAAAATTTTAAACCGTTAAAGAAATTGAGGAAGACATCAGAAGATGGAAGGACCTCCCGTGCTCATGGACTGGAAGAATTAATATGACCATCCTACCAAAAGCCATTTATAAAGTCAATGCAATGCCAATCAAAATCCCTATGACATTTTTCACAGAATTGGAAAAAAAAATCCTAAGATTCATATGGAAGCAAAAAAGACCTTGCATAGGCAATTACAGAGCTATAGTCATAAAAACAACATGGTACTGGCACAAAAATAGACCTGTACCTCAATGGAAAAAAATTGAAGACCCAAATATGAGTAAATGCAATTTCAGCCACCTGCTATTTGACAAAGGGGCCAAGAATATTCACTGGAGGAAAGAGCATATTCAGCAAATGGTGCCGGCAAAACTGGATCTCCACCTGTAGAAGAATTAAACTAAACCACTATCTTTCACCTTTCACAAAAGTCAATTCCAAATGGATCAAAGACCTCAATGTAAAAACTCTGAAACTGTTATAAGAAAACATCAGGAAAAACCTCCAATATACAGGGGTAGGAATGGATTTTCTAAATCGGACATCAATTGCTCAGGAAACAAGGTCAAGCATTAACAAATGGGACCTCATTAAACTAAAAAGCCTCTGTACATCAAAGGAGGCAACCAGGGAAGTGAAGAGAAAACCCACAGAATGGGAGAAAATCTTCACCAGCGACACGTCTGACAGAGGTTTAATATCCAGAATATATAACGAATTCAAAAAAC